GTATACTTGTTTCGTCTATCTCCTTTCGTTCATCCTCTCTCATTGGCCAGACCATCTCAACATACCTTTCTCAATCGTCGACACTACATCTCTTTCACTCCACAGCGTCCCTAAAATTACTTATAAACTTTACTTAAAATTTTAAGTCACTTCGCACTGTACGTGCGCGCCGCATGTGGTATTTTGTGGAAGAGCCGCACTCAAGGGGCCCAAAGAGCCGCATGTGGCTCGCGAGCCGCTGTTTGCCAACCACTACCCTAGCCGGTTGGGCTCAGTGAATAGAACATCAGCCAATGGACGGAAGGGTCCCAGGTTTGATTCCGGTCAAGGGCACATGCCTGAGTTGCGGGCTTGATCCCCGGTAGAGGGCGTGCAAAAGGCAGCCAATCAATGATTCTCTCTCGTCATTGATGTTTCTACCTCCCTCTCCCTTTCCCTTCCTCTCTGAAATCTATAAAAATATTTGAAACAAAAGAAAATCATCCCATAAAATCATGCCTCGCTGTGGCAAATGGATATTTGTGGTGAGGCTACCCCTTCCCTATCAGGTCAACATGTACCTCACCAGCGTTTCCTTTTCTTCAGGTTGCTGCTGTGGCGCAGAGGATGTGGCGGCTCCCCCTGAACAGAAGGTTTCTGTAAGAGTGTCACAGGCCAGGAATCCCAAGGTAGCCTTGTCTTCCCAGGAGAGCCACCCTGTGGGAGTTGTGGGCCCGTCTTGGGAAACATTTTCCAGCTGGTTGAACTGAAGGAAACCCAACCCAGCCAGATACTGTTGAGGTGTGGGGCATGTGCAAAAAGATTTTATTTCCGTGCAACATTTGACCAGCACCAGAAGCAGCATAGGACAGAGAAGCCTTTCGTTAGAGATGTGGACAGCATCTCTCTTGCGAGGGGCGGTGATTTTAGTGTGTCACAGAAACCTTCTACCTGTGGGGAATTTGGACAAGACGTGTTCACCGGGTCAGGACATCTACAGCAACAGGCTACTCCCACCAGGGATAGAACAAATGAAATCTTGACATCTGAGGTGAGTTTTCAAAGCAGAAATAACGATGACATCCGGGAAGAATCTCATAAAACCACTGGCGGCATCCACACATGTGTTCAGGACAGGAATATTTGTCCTGAAAGACAGCGTTTCGTGGGCCGGGAATGTGGAAAATGTTTTAGCAAACTTTCTACTTTTCACTGTCATCAGAGCGTTCACTCCGGAAAAAGACGTTATGAGTGCGGTGAGTGTGGTGAGTGTGGGAAGTCTTTTTCAAGGATGTATTACCTTCCTTATCATCAGAGAGTTCACACTGGAGAAAGGCCTTATGGGTGCAGTGAGTGTGGCAAATCTTTCTTCAGTAGCTCTGGCCTTCACTATCATCAGAGATTTCACAGAGGAGAAAGGCCTTATGAGTGCAGTGAATGTGGGAAATCTTTTAGCTGTAGCAGTGCCCTCCACAGCCACCGGAGAGTTCACACTGGAGAAAAGCCTTTTGAGTGCAGTGAGTGTGGGAAATCTTTTACTGGTAGCAGTGGCCTCCGGAGTCACCAGAGAGTTCACACTGGGGAAAGGCCTTATGAGTGCAGTGAGTGTGGGAAATCTTTCTTCAGTAGCTCTGGCCTTCATTATCATCAGCGATTTCACACAGGAGAAAGGCCTTATGAGTGCAGTGAATGTGGGAAATCTTTTAGCTGTAGCAGTGCCCTCCACAGCCACCGGAGAGTTCACACTGGAGAAAAGCCTTATGAGTGCAGTGAATGTGGGAAGTCTTTTAGCTGTAGCAGTGGCCTCCGGAGTCATGAGACAGTTCACACTGAAGAAAGGCCTTACGAGTGCCTTGCATGTGGAAAATCTTTTAAGAGTAGCAATGGCTTTCAATATCATCAGAGAGTTCATACTGGAGAAAAGCCTTATGAGTGCAACAAATGTGGGAAATTTTTTATCAAAATCCAAGGCCTTCATAAGCACCAGAGAGTTCACACTGGAGAAAAGCCTTACGAGTGCAATGAATGTGGGAAATCTTTTTCAAGAAAGGAGTCCCTTCGTTATCATCAGAGAGGTCACAGTGGAATAAGGCCTTATGTGTGTCATGAATGTGGGAAATCTTTTACAAGTAGCACTGGCCTCCATTATCATCAGAGATTTCACACGGGAGAAAAGCCCTATGAGTGCAGTACGTGTGGCAAATTTTTTACCAGCAGAAGTGGCCTTGTCCATCACCAGAGAGTTCACACTGGAGAAAGGCCTTATGTGTGCCCTAAATGTGGGAATTCTTTTACTAGTAGCAATGGCCTTGTAGGTCACCTGAGACTTCACACTGGAGAAAGGCCATATGAGTGCAGTGAATGTGGGAAGTCTTTTACCAGGATCCATAGCCTTCGTTATCATAAGAGAGTTCACAGTAGAGGAAATGTCTAGGAAACTAATAGCTTCTTAGTTCAGTTTTTTTTTATTTTATGTTTTGAGTATTTATTATAGGCCAGGTGTTAAGGATAGGGAAGTTATCCTGCTTTCATGGAGTTTACAATCTAGCAAAGAACCTAAGGATGATAAAAGAAATATTTTACTCTTTCCTTTGTTTGCTGCCTCATGTTTTTCAAGTTGATTCTATAA